GAAAGGCGAATGATCCGAGGAGTATCGACTCGATCGAGAATTTCATTTATCGAGGTGTCGATCGAAACGCATTAATCGGGTGCGATTAACGAGAGGAATAAAAGTTTTTGGTTACGTACTTGTCGTTTTCTTGAACGGTGGCGGCGTCGCATTGGGCGCTCGGTTGATTCGGCGTCAGGTTGTAGCAATAGGGGTAAGCGTAGTATCCCCAACTGGCCGACGGTCTCATCCGTTTGGCAGCTTTCAACGTCTCCTCCATAAAAAGTTGCCCGTATTTCTCGAATCTTCGCCTCGCTTCCTGCTCGACCATCCGATTGTCCCAGAACGGATGCTCGCGGCGTACCAAGTCCACGGAGAGTTTCTTGTAAGGTTGGAGGGAGGCCCAATTCTGTCGGAAGATCGGCCGCCAACTTTCGAAATCGATCACCCCAACGCCGCGAAACCATTTGTCCGGGATCTGATTGATCAAGTGGTCACGAAACACTTGGAGATGCTTGGTCAGATTGCCCTGTTGCGGGACACCGCCGTTTCTCGCCACCACGTTCCCTGAATCACAGTTTCAAACTCGTTTCCTTCCCTCTCCCTTCTGATTTTACCATTTTAACGGAGCAATACGCGCTCGTGTATGTGCGTGAGTGTGTGTGTATATATATATATGTATATATTGTTTACCATTCGGATCTTTCAGCAACGCCGGGAACATTCCAGGGTCGTAAAGGATCGCGATCTCTTCGCCCCGAAACTTATCCATCCAGTTCTGTAGAATGCCATATTTCTCCGATACTTCTTCGAAGCGTAGCCCGTATTTATGGCACATAAAGGTAGGCACGTTCCAGTAAACGTTGAACTCCCGTTTCGTTTTGTTGTTGTCGTTGGGGGTGCCCGGTACGAAGCTGACGAAGAGAAGAGAAACGAGGTGTTAGCGAAGTCGTGGCGAAAGCCGAGAGAGTCGAGGCCAATGACACGAATTAGATAAGATATTTTCAGACCTGAACTTGAACGCTTTATGTTGAGTATTTCAGGAGTTGTGCAGGGATGCGCTTGCCAACATTCGCGTTCCCCTTTTTTTTTTTTTTGTTCTTTTTGTCTTTCTACTCTTTTTCCTTCTCTCTCTCTCTTTTTCTCTCTGTTTAAAGAAAAGCAAAACGTGCCTCTTCGCCGACACGTGATTCCGATTATCCTTTGTTCGAACGTTTTACGTTTCCTCTCTAAATTTAAGAGAAAGATGGAACGAAGGAATTTGATTGTTCGCAAGGCATCTCAACGATTAATGTTATGTATACCCGAATAATAACGCGTTTGTCCGGAGTACAGGGGCTAGCATTAGCAACACTCCGACTAGCATCTCCTCCGTGATCACGACGGACCGAGACATCGAATCGAATCGCATCGATGTCGTTGCGCGCTCGAGGAAGCGTGATAACGCGTAATATCCCGTGCGAATCACCACCCTCTAAGCTAGCTTCGATCGGATCTGTCCTATACTTGTACGTAAGATTAGATTAAATATAGGAGTTAAGATTAAATGATTTCACGAGGAACTCGTCAGAGGTCTTCGTGAATAAACGTCAACGACGATGTTACAACAGCAGCACGACTGAATTCCGCTCGATTTCAGGCCACTATTTATTCCGCATCGTGTGTCTCGTATTCCCCACCTACGTGTTCGTCAACCGCTTCGCGCCGTTATCTGCTCCGGGTATTGTTCGGTGATTTCTCGTTTCCGTTTTTCCCTTCCTTTCTTCCTTCCTTTTCTTTCCCCTCCCCCTCCCTCTCTTTCCCTTCTTCATTTCATTATTAAATCGGCGCGCATCACAATCGGATCGAATTCGACTTGCCGAATGGAAATACATTGGGAAATCGGTATACTTATCTGATCAAGGACCATTGTCGAGTCGAAAGCCTTCGTTCGGAGGATGGTATTTCCCCTCGTCCGAATTGATGGAATTTCCCTTGTCGACGATCGCTGTCACGATCGCCCGTATTTTCGAATTTACCATTACCTTTTTTTTTTCCCCCCCAAGGATCGTTATTTTTCGTCCGCATTTCGTTTTACAACCAAAATTTTTTACGATCTTTCTAATCGATTAGAGACCACCTTCTGCTCTTCGTATCGTATATTAAATATTTTTGATAAGGATTCGATATCGTGTTTCTGAAACGTGATTCTATAACGTAAAACATATAAATATATGTTTTTATTATAAGTAGAAAAGTTTGACACGATAAGAGATGTTAAATTGTTTTTTTTTTTTCTTTTTTTATCGTAATTGAACAATGTTTCTTTAAAATTAATTTCTACGTGTCGTGTAGCAGATAGGATTAAGGCTATTATTTATTCTGTTAACCGTGTTATGATATCAAACGATATAAGGATACGTATGCGGGTCTCCCATGTTTCCACGTTATTCCCGAATTATCTTTGTTTTATTTTAATTCTTTTCTCTACTCTATTTTGCAATCGTATTGAATCTAATGAACGTTATCGAGACAAAAAAATGTGCGCGTTTAACGAAGGACGTGTCCTTATTTCTATGTATTTTCAAGCTTATCAATGGGAAAATATTTAAAGGCCAAACTTGAAGTTGATCGTCTCCTCGCGCAAATACTATTTATCGAGTTTGGAGGTGATCAATAATATGTCCTCTTAATCTTAATGGTCGAATCGATTAGACGAAACGTATTACAAGGATATTTAGTTCTCTTTCGTGAATTCCTTTTTACGCGTTTATAAACAGATAATAACACGATAACGACCAAGGTAACAATAAATTCCACTTTTCGCCATTAACCGTACGAATTTCATAGTAAAGATAAAATATTCAGGTATTTTTTTTTTCTTTTTGTTACCTATAAAGATAATTCGTTATGTAAAAATAAATTTCATCGCATTAAGGATAAATTATTATTGATGGAAAGAGAGAGAGAGAGAGAGAGAGAGAGAGAGAGAGAGAGAGAGAGAGAGAGAGAGAAGAAGAA